GAAACCTCAGGAAGAGCAACTGAGGAGGGATCCTCTTCCAGGACGGACAGACGTGCAATAGATGTCGTACAGAACAGATCAACAGGGGTAAAAGTTGGGGGAAAAAATTGATACAGCATAGTATTGCGATATTTTTGTGTGGCAATATTATATTGTCACACAGGGCTAAGTATTTATTTTTTATTATAGAAATTATTAATGTGACAAATACAAATTAAACTTTAGGTAGCCTACTAGAATAATAAAATGTATTGTTTTTTCACTCCACTAGATACATTTTGCTGCTACAAAAAATGCTTAAGTGAGATGAACAGACTTAAAAATTTATCTCATTAGATAAAACAGATGTTGACAAAGTTTTCTTTTGAGGACATACAGTAATTTACAGTTGAAAAAAGGGAATAAATCACAATATATCACAATACATTTAAAAAGCCCCACAAACACAAAAAGGCATACAGAAGAAGAAGACACAGTAGTGTCATGTGCATTGCCCTACTCTACTCGCAATGGGAAAGGAGTCTGTTGCCTATTTCTAGTAGGTTTTCCCATTGTTAAAAAAACTGTGTACACACACTAATTTTGGTGGGAAAACAGTATAACAGTCAGACTAAATTTTGCACCTGAATAGGCTGGCACATACTGCAGCTGCTGAGTCTTAACCAAAACAAGTAATAGGGACCACAGGGGAGATCTTTACACTGGATCCTTGGCCCTTTTAGAATCAGTCATCACCCATTACCATTCTGGCAGCGAAGTGTTAGCAGTTTACTGGTGTCCTGAAGCGCCTTTCTGAAAAGTTCAAAGATTTTCAACCAGAAACGTTCAGAGCAGCCACACAAAAAAAGTCAAAGCGCTATGAGAAAAGACACTGGGTGCAGCGCTTATAGGTGGCTAAAACAGCCTTACATACTTTCTCCTCATTTGGAACAACTGAAATAAGATGCTGGCGCTCAGAAAAATAAAAAAAACGCTATGTGGACACTTGGCCTGAGTTGGCTGTTTCTCTCTCTCTACTACTTAGCTGCAGCTTGCAGGTCATCAAACACTAGGGAACTGCCCATTGGTCCGACATCCCATTGTTCCGACCATATTAAACCCATTGTTCCGAAGTCCCGTTGTTCTGAAATCATCATGATGCCCTGTGGTTAAGGTCTGGTTAGGTTTAGGCACAAAAACCACTTGGTTAGGGTCAGGAAAAGATCAGGGTGTGGGTTAAAATGAAAAAGAAAGTGACAAACACATAAGCCGTGAGCCTGCTTCGCCTCAAGCCTTTCCCAGCTGACCCAGAGCCGGTCGCGGTGCACCATCAAGGTAGAAATACGTCTGCCGGGAGCCTTTCAGCACCGCGGACCGTCGGACTAATGGGATGTCGGACCAATGGGCTATCGGACCAATGACGTGGACCCAAACACTACAGCATTAAATATACCAACAGTAAAGATGTTTGGACAGCTCTTTCCTTTTTTTGGACATAAACTGTGGAGCAGCCTGCACATAATATTCAAACTGTTAAAGGGCTTGTCTTTTCAGTCTTCCATATTTAATTGAAATGTTTGATTTTCTACCCTGTTTAATGTTATATGAAACTGTTCATGTTTTTTTTCATTCAATGCATTCTCAGCTGCATCTTATGTATAAAAATGATAATGTTTATTAATGTTATTATTAGAGGCTTTGCTGATTCATGGTGATGACAAGACTGCATCCAGCCAAAAATTTGCTTTTCCAAGTCACCCCCGATATGTAATTTTTTGCATAAATTATGCACAACTTATGGATAATTTACAGTCGTCACACATTGATGGTACTCACATAATGTATGTACATCACATTACCTTATTGTTCCATCACAAATGTTTTTATTTAAACCAAAACATGATCTTCTTTCTAAAACTGATCATGCAGTTTTGTTGTCTAAACCTAACTGCAACCATTCCACAACATGAATCACGTGTTACAGAGTGTTTCAGCTTTGCATCACATGAAATAATTAAAGGTAACTGCCATATTTCATGGAGAGATGTATATATTTTTAAGAAGTTGCTTTTTTGGATGTTCAATAAAATGATCTGGAAGATTTCTTGATGTTATTTATTGAGACTCAGTGGTCGCTGAATATGTTTAGATGCAAAGTCACTACGAGATGCAGAGGTACTTGACACAGCGTCAACCACCCTGTGGGTGCTGAACTTGCTACCAGTGTTGGGCAAGCTAGTTGGAAAATGGTGTGAGCTAAGCCACCAGTTACTCTACATCAAAATAAAGTTTCACTACATTGAAGCTATCTCCAGAGAAATGTAGTAATCCAAGGTAAGAGAAAATGACAAAAGTAGCGACTTGCAAAGCTACTTTGATTTTTTGAATTTATGTCAAATCAGCGTTTTCTCAGTGATTAAAAAATGTTAGCCAAACAGGCAGGCAATAAATATTCAGTTTAACTTTATTATAAAATAACAGACTTAAATTAAGACTTTCTTGTTTCTTTTTGCTGTAAAGCTATTTGACTCAGAAAGTAGTGACATTACCACCACGCCACTGAGAAATGTAGTTAAGGTTGTTACGTAGCTACTTGTAGGAATGTTGGAATGAGCAGGGAACCAAATCACCTTTATGTGCACGACATTGTGATCCTCATCTCACAGTAAATATATATGTTTTTGTATGATATACATGTCAAAAATTCCAAACTCCAAAGAAAAGAAACTTTGCCTTAAAGGGTCAGTCCAACCAAAAAACATATTTTACTTTAGTGTAAATAGGTTCATTTTGTCTACTCAATTAGATTCAGTGTAGAAAGGTTTCTTTTTTTTCAGACAATGAGTTTTTAAAGGTTTTTACAGGTTTTTAATGAGTTTTTTTCCTTAAAAACTCATTGTCTGAAAAAAAATAAACCTTTCTACACTGAATATTTTACTTTACCTCCAGTGATATCTTTCCATGTTCAACTTCAAATGTCTTATGAGGTTGGAAATTGTTGCATCTTCATCTGTAATTTCAACCCGCAGGTTTTATATATCGAAATTCTTTTTTTTTGTTTGTTTGTTTTTTGTCTGATTCTGATTCTGATTCTGACTAAGTAGTCTTTGTACCCGAGCAAAATTATCTTTGGAATCATTTTCTCTAACTGGAGCTCAGTAACGTCATGTTAGTTCTTTATGGTTCTGTCTTTCAACTTGAGTGAATGCTGTCAAATTCATTCAAACAAAATGAATCATCTGGGGAATTAAATGTTAACATTTTGGGAATGGATTGCGTTAACATTAGTTGATTTAGGAAACTGTTCTGAGTTTTTAAATAACACACTTTTTAATCTTTGGTTTTGAGGGAAGGTATCAGGTATTTTTTAAATTCTCTGCATTATTTTGGCTGATCTCTATAAACAGAAATTTACATATGAATGCTAATAAGTAAAAAAAAAAAAAAAAAAAAAAAAAAGGTAATAAAAAGATAAATCATTATCTGCTGATAGCTGATTGAGATTGCATTTCAGCCAGTGCTAATGCCTCTATTGCTCTCCACATGGAATGTTTACCTGCTGCTCCACCGTGATTGGTCAATACTACTCGGACTACAAACAGAAACCAGAACACTTCCAAATCTCGAACCCTTGCCTACAGATTTATTCATATGCATATATCTGTTCATAGACATTGTGTTTAAAGCAACTGTTTGCTAACATGTTAGCCATATCGGCTTTTTAAAGACATAATTAACACATCAAGTTTGTGTTCTACCACACATTTTTTAATATGTTGTAATCATGCTTTTCCCCACCATCATATCACAAACTGTTTTTGCTTGGTTGCTTCTTGGTGTATGGTTTTTGATATACCTGAGTTTCAGAAGACTAACTATGTACTGACAGTGAAAATGTGATGAGATGAGTATCTGTGTAGCTCAGTATCTGCATGATTGTGAGGCAGGGCAGGCGAGAAAAAACATCTGGGTTAGAAGGGAGTCAAAAGCTTTAGAAAACATGCCTAAGTGATGTTCGGAGTCCTTGAGATTTGCGTACGCTTGAACAAACACTGACATCTATCCCATAATTTAGGCAGGCAACTGGTCCTCCGCACACACTGGGAGGACCTCAACACATCCAGACATTGCACTGAGCACAGAGAGAGGAAGGTGCTGGGGAGAGAGAGAGAGAGAGAGAGAGAGAGAGAGATGGGAGGGCAAGAAGTAGTAGGGGGCAGGGGAATGCTGCAGAGAAAAGCAAATCTCATACATGCTGGACCACTGTACAGAAAATAATACGTGACATAAAACGCATGAATGATTTGGCAGTTGCAAGGTTGTTGGGTGTGTGTGTGTGTGTGTGTGTGTGTCCATTGTGTACTACACAAAGATGATCATTGATCCTATGCTGATAGAAAAAAGACTACTCAACCTATGTGTGGCACATCTACATCCATTCTATGATACATGACATATGTCATCATAATGGTGTTCACAGTAATGCATGCATCTCCTTATTCCTCCCATGTGTATATACCAACTTAGTGTCTCTTTCCATACACACTATCTATTTTTTTACTTTCTCTCTTTCAAACACATACATGCACACACACACACACACACACACACACAGGTACCTCATGTACCTCATTACTTTTACACCCTCCATCCATCATCCTCCCCTCCCTCTCTGTTTCTTACTGTGCTGTTATCAATGGGATTGCAGCAGTCAGGACATTTTCACTGAATTACCAGCATTCCTCCACTCTTCTTAGTGTGTTATTGGTGCCCCCTGTCTGAAGCCTGTTGGCATAACCACTGCTTTCCTCATACTGCAATGTCCCAAACCTCTCTCTTTACCAGCAATCACATAAACACTAAAATATAAATGACAAAGGCGTAAACTGGCCACAGAAATGTTGGTGTGCAGATGTAAAAGTTTCCTGTAGTGTACTTGAATACCAGGAGATGATGCGTGATTGATGTGAACATTCTGGAGTTGTAACAACCCCCCACCCCCTCTGTTTGTGTCTCTGCAGTACGTGGCATTTGCCTCGCTCTTCTTCATCCTTCTCTCCATCTCCACCTTCTGCCTGGAGACCCACGAAGCCTTCAACACCATCTACAATAAAACAGAAAATGTCACTGTTGGCAATGTGACACATGAGGAGGTACAGTGAAGTTTTAATGAATAGTTTTTTTGTTTGTTTGTTTGTTTTGATATGTTAATGTGACTGTAAAAGGAACACTGCAGTGATCTAGTGTTGCTTCTCTCTTTTGTGACAGATTCAAAAGTGAATGACAAAAATGAGGCAGAGGCCGAGATATACTGATTTAAAGTCTCAAAAATACTCAGTCCTACATTTCCCATGATGCAACTGTAGCATCATATTGCAAGGAAAAAGTGCACATTCTTAATTTGTGGAGCTGAGCAGTGCTGTTCATGATTAGTAAGCTAACATTAATGTGTAAAACCAGTAGATTGCCCCTTCACTGAGACATAACTAGTGGTTAGAAACTCACTCACAAGAACAAGGTGAGTCTGATTTAGTGGTAGTTAGTTATGCTAGGAAGTGAAGTGTCTATCAAGCAAATTACGCAGTACAGGATGAATAACATGAGAGGCTTTTATAAACCCAATAAACAGGCCTTATAAATTGGGTTTCAAGTTTCTTTTTTTTCATCCCTGACATTGTTTCCTCAAAATTTTGTGGCTGGATTCAGTGTTTGAAAGGGCATGAAATTAATTCTTACTGCTGCTGCTAGTGACCTCGGGTTTAGCTAAAGGTAATAAGGATTGCCCTCATATGAGCTTTTCTGTTGCTGTTCACCCACTAGGCCTGTCATGATAATTACGTTACTGACTTATTTTACGATATATGGACATAACCTTGATCATTTTGCTGACCTCGTTATTGTGTTTAGGCTACGTGTGTTTGTATGAGTATACAAAACATTATCACCAACATTTTAGCGAAAATGATGCCAGAATAAACAGCAGGGTGGCCCTACTATTATAAGACTTGGGTGTAGCAGACCTTCCTTTTCCCTCTATTCCACCTACTTACACAAGTACAAAGAAAAATTAAAGCTGCAAGCAGTGCAACTCGGGGGTGCTGGCAGGACACTGGCTGACACGGCAGTTCATTTCTGTTAAAGTCAGACACTGCACGCAGGAGTGAGATGGCTTATCTTTCATAGAGTGTGGGCCCTAGAATGACCTATTTCATATTTTGTACCACCTACTCTTTACGCTATGAGGCACTGTAGATTGCAATAATGATATGTCATGTTTTTGTACATCAAATATATGCCACAGCATGTAAATTTCAGGTAAATTAAAAGATGAGTATCTGAAAAGATGTACTTCCTATTGCCAGTACGTGGCAACAGGAAGTACAGTGTGGAAAACGCCAAAATTGACCATGAAATTCAAAATGGCCGACTTCTTGTTGGGTTTGGCCTATGGGTCCAAGAGGCTTTTTTGTGCGTCAGGGTGTGATACATGTGCATACCAATTTTCGTTCATGTCGTTGAAACATGCCGTAGGGGCTGTTTCTTTAAAGGGTGTGGCCAAGCCTTTGTGCCATGGCAAATACCATGGCAAGTGCCATCTGGTCAGTTTTGTAGAAGATGTACATCAAAGTATATAAACTAATAAATACTAATTATTGGCATGTAGATGTATTCAGGACGGGACTGTTAAGTTTGGGGCAGATTACAAACTACTTTTCATCTGTAAGGTCTTTCGATGGAACACACCGACTTTGGAGTCGATTTAGTTAAATCTCTAGGAGAAGTTTGTTAAAATACGACCCCTGGAAATGGCCAAAGATGCATAAAAGTGGCACAGTAAATTCAAAATTGCCGACTACCTGCTGGGTTTAAAGAATGGGTCCAAGAGACTTTTCTGTATGTCTTGGGACATTACATGTGCCTACCAATTTTCGTACATGTAGGTCAAACCAGCTTCGGGGGCTATTTCGTAGAAATTTTGTAGGGGGCGATACTGAGCCATTTTTTTGGCACCCAAGCATGAGACCCCTAAATATCACATTTTTGGCCAGATGTGATGTTTGTGTTTCATGAGTTTTTGAGTATGTTAAGCCCCCCCAAAATGCGATCATTGGAGCAAATAATAATAATAATTCCTTAAGTATCAAGAGGGCCCTTGCCCACCTGTGGTCGGTGCTCTAGCCCTAATGAAACAACACTTGAAGATTACCCAATGTAGCCTGCAGCCGCACTTTTGAAGTTGAAAGGCCCTGACACACCAAGCTGACAGTCGGCCGTCGGACAAAGTCGGGCCGTCGGTGAGCATCTGTCGGCCTAGTTTTTGTGGTGTGTCCCGCACTGTCGGCCCTTCGGCGTCGGCGTCGGCGTCGGCAGCTTTTCAGCCGATTGAGCATGTTGAATGAGCGGTGGAGCTAGTCGGTGAAAGAGATCACTCTGATTGGCTGTTTAGGTTTTATTCCCTCGCCCCTGTAGCGAGTGAATCTGACAAAAAGTCCATTGCGAGTGAATCTGACAAAAAGTCCATTGCTCATAATTCTTTCCCTCCAACCACTTAATGCTCCACTTCATAAATCCACCAGCAAACTGACTGGCTTCCAGGCCGTCCATTCCTAGGAGCCGAATGCAGCACACCAGCTGATTATTGAGGTAACTGCGGGGTTCCTGAAGCTTTGCTAGGCCTGTCTATTAGTCAAGAAGAGGAAGCATCGCTTGGTTTTGTTTTTATTGGCCAAATTTTATATTGAGTATCAATCTGAACAATATAATAATTAAAACCAGTAAAAATACTAAATAAAGCAGTTTCACATTGAAAACATTGACTGTGTTTTTTAAACGCTCTTGTGGTGGAGGGGCTGCAAACTATGGTGGCTGATGAAAAAGCGTTAAAACATGAAGGCACTAAAAAATGTTTATATACTTTCTTGTATTAATTAACTGTTCATTACTTTTTTGAAAATATGTGATATTATTTTTCATATTCCAATACCAGTGTCTGAATGATCTGAAGAACAAAAACTTCATTGCCCTTTGAAAGGGTGTACTTGCTTTATTATGCTATTATATTATTATTTTGTCAATGGTATAAAATTGACAGTAATACACTGTAATTATTTATGGGACAATATTTCTGGGACAATATATCATCAAACCAAAGTAGTTATCTTGACAGGCCTAACACCCACAAAGTGTAATTGAACTTTTGGTGAACATGGTATTGTGCCTTTGGGCATGTAACTTGGAATGAATGAATACATGAATCGGTAAAGGCAATATGAAAGCATCTAACCCCTTTTTTTCTCCCTTCTCTGCAGATAGTGTATGAGGTAGTCACGGATGGCTGGCTGACATACGTGGAGGGTGTCTGCGTCATTTGGTTCACCATTGAGGTGATGGCGCGTGTTGTCTTCTGCCCTGACAAGGCAGAGTTCTTTCGCAGCGCCCTTAACATCATTGACTTTGTGGCCATCGTGCCCTTTTACTTGGAGGTGGCGCTGAGTGGCCTCTCCTCCAAAACAGCCAAAGACGTGCTAAGCTTCCTGCGTGTGGTGCGCTTTGTCCGTATCCTGCGTATATTCAAGCTGACCCGCCACTTTGTCGGTTTACGGGTCCTGGGCCACACTCTGCGGGCGAGCACCAATGAATTCCTGCTGCTCATCATCTTCCTGGCGCTGGGCGTCCTCATCTTTGCTACCATGATCTACTATGCGGAACGCATCGGTGCCGACCCTGACGATCCAACAGCTGCAGCTCACACCAACTTCAAGAACATCCCCATCGGGTTCTGGTGGGCTGTGGTAACCATGACCACACTGGGTTATGGGGATATGTATCCTGAGACATGGTCAGGAATGCTGGTGGGTGCCCTCTGCGCCTTGGCTGGTGTGCTGACCATCGCTATGCCTGTACCTGTTATTGTCAACAACTTTGGCATGTACTACTCCCTGGCTATGGCCAAGCAGAAGCTCCCCAAGAAGAGGAACAAGCACATCCCCCGAGCGCCACAGCCTGGCAGCCCCAACTATTGCAAGCCAGATGCCCTGGCCATGGCAACCGCCTCGCCACACAGGCTGATGGGCAATGTACTTGGGCCAGGAATGGTGGGATCCGGCAGCATGATGGGTACTGGAGACTGCCCATTGGCACAGGAGGAGATTATCGAGATCAACAGGGCAGGTGAGTGATTGACCGAACTTGAGATCATGTGTGCATGTTAGAGTTCCAGTGGGCCTTGAAAGTTCATAAAGTGTGTGGATGTGAAGGGGAAAAAAAGCCAACCCTGTAAAGTTTTTCAAAATGTGAACCCACATTGAATGTACCATATTTTTAATTTGGCAAAGTTTGGCATCCAAATGTAAAGGCCCAGCCATGCAAGCATTGTCAACATCAACATTTTTTGTGTAAACTGATTGAGATACATTTATGCAAAGCAGTAGCAAAGCAAACTTGTGGAAGTCTCTCGCCCTTAGTACAACTTTGATACCCTCAGTATCTTTCATTGTCCCAGGATCAAACCTTTTGATGGAGATGTTTAATTATCTCTTAAACTGTCAATCATTTTTTAGATTAACTGCCTGTTTTATCTAAAAATAATAAAATAGTGAAAAATGTGCAATACTATAAAATGCATAGTTAAAGATCAAGGTGACATCCTCAAAATAGCATTTCCCATGCAAATTTTCTGCCAGGCAGCGTGATGGACGCAATGTGAATGACATGAAATTTGCAAATTAAGCAATGCAAATGAAGCCAGTAGAGTGATTTTGCGTCATACGCTTTCAGTTTAAAAATACTGGCGGAAGTTAATTGATCGATTCAGCGATTTCACGTGCATATGAAGTGAGTCAGCACAAAATATTCTATCATTAAAACTCACACAAATAACGCAACATTGTGTTTGGTGTGAACACATTAGATTTGGTGCTGAAACCTGGCTGTGGTTGAGCAGTAGAGGTCATGGGACATGTTTGTGTATTTGCCTGTATGGGCTTGGATGTTGTTTTCACATGGTTTGTCTCTGTTACAGAATAATTTGTTCTTGTATTATAAGTGTTATCTTTCCCTCTCCATTACTGCTTACATTAGTTCCAATTTCTAAAGTTAGGTTCAATCTCAATACACCTTTGGCCCCTTCCACTAAGAAACCTCTGTTTTGCATGTTCGCGTCTAGAAGTAGGGTGTCCTGACTCTTGCTGGGATAGATGGGTAGGGTGAAGTTTTAGGGCAACATGGCCAGAGGCACACTCCAAACAGAGTGTTATGAGAATCAATGGCAAGATGAGTGAATAAGCAACAAAAGAAACCTACAAATGAATTTTCTTCTTTTATAAAGATTTAAAAACTACGATAACAATCGTATTATCTTGGTTTAAAGGAGCAATAAGCGAAATTCATCATTTCTAGATTGAAGGAATTAAAAAATTGCTATGTGAAGAACTCGAGGTGTAATTTCATCTGGAGTATAGCATGACCTCACACACCCTCTCTCTGTGTTGATCTCCAGCCCATTGTTTACAAGCCGGTCCGGCTGCACGTTCATGTACTTTCATGTGAAACCCCCCTACCCCCTCCTCCTCTCGGAGCCCTTGGCCCTCCCTCCCTATAAAAGGCTACAGCCAGTGAGCAATGGCAGGGCGTATTTTCGAAATAAAATGGCAGAGAGCGGAATGTCCACCTGAAGACAACCAGGATCTGACATTACCTCTAAAGAAACAACAGTGGTTGGCGTAGAAGTTGTCGGATAAAGAAAGGGACAGAACTCGGATTAACATTGGCCTTGCATTTCCAAGGTGGAGAGCACCGCGAGAGCTAAAGGGGCTACAATCTGACTCGGAGCTAGCTCTTCTTCTCCTGGACAGGTAACAGTTAAGTAACAACATAAAGTCAAATGTCTGTTTTAATTAGTGTTACAGTAATGTTAAGCACATGTCGCTATGTCGATTCAGTTAAATTTAATGTTACAATCGTAGCATGGGTTAATGTCCGGAGCTTGAGTTATTAGCGGCTCGGTCCCAGCAATGGGTCAGGCGTTTCAGTTGTGTTAGGTGAGTAGCCCGGCAGCCCAGCTAACATTTGCAATTAGCATTGTAAAATGTAGCCTGGCGGGCAGCCTGGTGGCTGTGTTTAGCTATTCCCTTGCCTACTTCAATGATGATGGTACCTGTAATAAATGTAATATATTTGCTGAAATGGAGGCGAGGCTCAGTGACTAGAAGACCTGGTAGAAGCGCTCCATAGCTGCAAGATACTCCAGTAGCTGTAGTAGCTCTAGTGCTAACTCTGGGAGCTAACACCAACATTCCTCTCTTCTCTGTGAGCCGGGAGCCCGGAACATTAGCATGGCAGCCGACTAGTGCTAATGCTAACGTCCCCATGCTAGAGCTCGCCAGAGCCGAGAAGCAGGCTCCCGGAACGTTAGCATGGCGGCCAACTAGTGCTAACGCTAACGTCCCCACGCTTCTCGGCTCCGACTCACTGAGCCTGGCGGAGAAGCTTGGGGATGTTAGCACTAATCGACTGCCATGCTAACGTTCCAACTCTTCTCCCTGAGCCCGGCTCCTGACTCAGTTGGAGTTGGAGCGTTAGCGTGGCAGCCGAGTGGTGCTAACGCTAACAGGAAAGCAGGGAAATAGCTAAACACAGCAGAGACCGAGAGTGAGTGAAAGACATCCCTAACTGCTAAACTAAGTTGGCTGTTTAGGTTTTATTTCCTCGCCCCTGTGGCGAGTGAATCTGCCTGCAGTGAAAGCAGGGGCTACCGGTGCTTCCTCCTCATGCTCCACTTCACTCAGCTGCCAACACAGCCAGTTAGCCTCCGCTAGCTTCCCAGCTAGTGGCTTTCCGTTTGGATCCAACCGGAGCACCGAGCCCTGGTTTGTTATTCAGATTAATGTGGGAAGAAGCAGCTGGTATATCGGGCAGCTGAGTGAAGCTGAGTTATGCTGAGTGAAGCGGAGCCTACGGAAGAAACACTGGGACCGTCTGGATGTGATAGTCCACGAAGATGCTGCGGTACTCGCCGGCACAGACGAGGTGAGTAGGGGGGGTGTTGGAGAGCAGGGGTAGAGGGAGGAGTGGCTCATGACACACTTTGTTTTGCTCTACAGGCAGTGCACAACAGCGAACCTAGCGGTGAAACGATTTCGCTTATTGCCCCTTTAAAGTTGTTTCAATGGTTATCTTTATGACAAGCGTAACATTAAAAAAAAGCTAGTAGTTTGCTGATGTCTCTGTTGCTAATATTAACTATTACATTACATTGTTATTGTTTATTTGTGCATGACAGTCTTGCATTTTGACATATTTCCATGTCACCCTCCCTCCCCCTTTGATAGCGACACTCGAAATATAACGTAAGTCCAGCGATAAATTTGTTGCAATTGTTACCACTCCTCTAATATCAGTGCAGCTGGGCAGGAAAGGACCACAGGTTTCTAACGTTAGACTACAGAACACCACTTGTGGCCTGGCAATGAAGCAATGTTCTTTTTTATTGAATGATATTTGATTGATTGATAGCGTGAAACATAAGTTGTGAACATCCATGCTTTTCTATCTCCATCAGAAGAATAGCAATTGTCATTGTGATAATACCATTAATGCCAAAGTTGCATCTGGGTATGTAAACACCATCAATGTCAATAACGATACTGATGATGCATCAGGGTCTTGAAGGGTTGTCCCATTTTAAAAGGGTGCATTCAAATCAAGGGGTAGGGGTAAAATTTAAAAAATGTCATTGGGCCTTAATCACTGGCGTGGTCTTAACAAAAATAGCTATGTACAACGCTTCAAGTTTCTCACTCTCTCATCAAACTGATGACCAGAGGTCAGATTTCAAGCACTGAAGTGATGTGAGAAGTGTGTATCTAACAGGTTTTGAAGCTGTAAATAACTTGCTGATGTCCTCGTTCTTCCTAGAGAGGAGTACACTAAAATAGATTTTAATTTACGATGGATGAGAAAGCTGGAAAAAAGGCTTATTACTTTCTCTCAAAAAATCCATCTCCTCCCTCTCACAGCCAGATGCTGTACCACCAAGGCCAATAATCCTGGATTGGGTCTTTAAAGATATACAGTATGTTTTGACTGTTGAAGCATTGATCCAAGTCACATAATCTCTGCTTTGCTGTTTTAATTGACATGTCCATCATTTGCACTGATACATGATTGTGTGTGTTGGGGGGTAGAACTATGAATAGCCCTGAGATTGGAGAACTGACATGTAATCAGTGTGCATTTGTGTGTGAGTGCGTTTCTTCACTTAGATACTTGCTTCTAACTAAGCATTCGCAAGTACGTTGTTGGATATCATATGTTTCTGTTTTATGGTTCTGATCATCTTTAGAATTTAGCATTAAAGATGTACAAAATGCTACTGAGTCCATTAGAGAGATAGTTTGAGTCTTTTGAAGTGGGGTTGTATGAGGTACATAATACAGTACAGACCAAAAGTTTGGACACACCTTCTCATTCAATGCTTTTTCTTTATTTTCATGACTATTTACATTGTAGATTCTCACTGAAGGCATCTAAACTATGAATGAACACATGTGGAGTTATGTACTTAACAAAAAAAGGTGAAATAACTGAAAACATGTTTTATATTCTAGTTTCTTCAAAATAGCCACCCTTTGCTCTGATTACTGCTTTGCACACTCTTGGCATTCTCTCGATGAGCTTCAAGAGGTAGTCACCTGAAATGGTTTTCCAACAGTCTTGAAGGAGTTCCCAGA